ATTTCAGTGCATTTTTGTCGCGAGAGGAACAGTGAGTGCAGTGTAATATCCCCCACACATAATCGCTTCACTGTATTTAAATAAGAAAATGGGGGTTTTAATAAACAGTATTTATTAATAATTTAAAGCCCTTTTTATATAAATTTTAATCTAATGTAAACATGTATTTGTTTTTGTAAAAAAGTAAGGTTTAATTAACTTATATTTAATGTGTATAATATATCGATGCATGTTTGTATATTTTAAATAACTATCGAAATGTGATCTACTTGACAAATACAGTATACACACGTTATGGTGCATATGTTTGATAATAAATAAATAATTAACTTATATCTAATATGTATAATATATCGATGCATGTCTGTACATATTAAATAATTACAGTATATTCACGTTATAGTTCAAATTTGAAGTCTCTAGTGTATGCGAGAGACCACCAGACCATACCTAAACTCAAACAATCTATCTAAGATGTGATTTAAGCCATTTCAATAAAAATGACTAGAGCAACGATTAATAGGTTTTTTGCTCCCGACTCGACCACGTGATTACGGAAATGGGTGCCCATTTTGAAAATAATTTTTATTAAATGCCAAACATTTATCTTTAATTTGCAATTGATTTGATTAAAATATCTTTTGTAGTTTTAGAATAATTAAAAAATCAAAAACTTCGTTAATGGTTGAACACACTGTATAAATAAAATATTCTACAAATGTTTGTCGGCGACTCAATAACCCAGGGTTGGAGTCTGTTTGGCAAAATTGTGTGGGAATTACACTACGACGCCGGCCGTCACACCTATAACTACGGCATCTCCGGTGACACCACTTCTAACGTAATCTATCGGATCCGGGATAAGGAGTTTGACGGACTTCAGGCCAATGTTACTGTGCTTATGATCGGTGAGTGTAAACCTTTATACATTAATTTTTTTAAACAACCTTACCCAAACATAAAGTAAATTTTATTGATAATGAGCATTTGACTACTACATTTGTTGTACTACTAACATAATACTTACATAAACGCTATTTCTAACTCAAACCATATATTGATTATTAGGTACTAATAATATTTGGCACAATAACAATACGGCTGAAGACGTTAAACATGGAATTGTTGAGATTATAACCGAGTTGTTGACTAAAATGCCGGCCACCAAGATCCTTTTGTTGGGTAACTTACCAGCACCATGGCCAGACCAATGCAAAGAGCTTAATGCATTGTTGGCAAAGTTGGCCAACAATAAAAATATATTTTTTCTGGACATGTGGTCAGCCTTTGTGAACAAAACCGGTAAACAAATAGCAAATCTCTTTCTTCCCGATGGCGTTCATCCCAATGAGTCCAGGTATGAGGTCTGGCAGAAGACTATGGATCCCGTTCTCCGTAAACTTTATCCATTGATTAACAATTGATTGATTTATAGTTATCATAACTATTAAAAATAAAAATTAATTTACATTCATATGCAGTCAACATTTGATATAGTAGTCGAGCAGTTGGCAAATATTTTTGAACACTGTATAAAATAATCCTAATATAGAATGACCATAATGTATAATAAAGCTAATGTTTGAAATATTATGAACTTAAAATTCATTTATTAGATTAAAAAGTCAGTTATTTTAGATTATTTAATGTTTTGAAATAAAAGTTAAATGTTTTTAATGAATGGCATTAAAAATTCCTAAAATCAAGTAACTGGTAGACAAAACAAATTTGTCTCATACCATAAAATTACATTAACCTTGCGGTCCTACACATCCTAGACTTTTTGATATTTGAGTTTCAAACTCTCGGTAAAAATCAGTCTTAGATCTTGGTACAGAAAAATATCAGGAATGCCTCAATCAAACATTTGAGAAAATAATAGATTAATCACAAATATATTATCATGTCTTGTGTCCGAGTAATGAGTGTCCAAAGAGAAGTCACTTCACAAAGTCTACCAGTGTAGTAAACTCGTAACTTTTATCTCTCTTAACATTTCAGTGCATTTTTGTCGCGAGAGGAACAGTGAGTGCAGTGTAATATCCCCCACACATAATCGCTTCACTGTATTTAAATAAGAAAATGGGGGTTTTAATAAACAGTATTTATTAATAATTTAAAAATTTCAGTGCATTTTTGTCGCGAGAGGAACAGTGAGTGCAGTGTAATATCCCCCACACATAATCGCTTCACTGTATTTAAATAAGAAAATGGGGGTTTTAATAAACAGTATTTATTAATAATTTAAAACCCTTTTTATACAACGGGATGCAATGAAATTGATTTTTCAAAAATTAGGATAACTTTTTACCTAGATGATATTTTTAAATAAAAATTTAAACAATTATGTCTTAAGATCTATATATTAAAATTAATAAGAAATCCAGACTAAATATGGCGTTAATCGGGCGCTAGGTTAATTCAACTAAGGCGTGCAATCATTTTAAAATATAAGGTCAGACTTTTCTATGTTAAAGCGTCATAGAATGTAAAGTTTGACATAAAGTTTCTAAATCATTTTCGGACTTTTTATCTAAATTAGCCCCGATTTCTATTGTTTAACTTTAATTATTTGATGGATAATTGTTAAATCGAAACCAGTAATTGGTATTGTGGTATTTATCATGGTATATAAGACATTATTAATAATATATTGACCAAATTAGGCCTTGATTGAGTTTTTAAAATTTTTTGTGATAAATTAAATTTATTTACCAAAAATAGTAAGTAATTAAATTTTTAAGTATATCATTAGATAAATATTTTTAAAAAGCGTCTTTCAAGCTTCAAATCCATATATAAATTAATGATCTAGGTCCAATATTAGTATTTTTAAAAATTAAATAAGATATACATAATCAAAATCAATTTCATTGCATCCCGTTGTATAAATTTTAATCTAATGTAAACATGTATTTGTTTTTGTAAAAAAGTAAGATTTAATTAACTTATATTTAATGTGTATAATATATCGATGCATGTTTGTATATTTTAAATAACTATCGAAATGTGATCTACTTGACAAATTCAGTATACACACGTTATGGTGCATATGTTTGATAATAAATAAATAATTAACTTATATCTAATATGTATAATATATCGATGCATGTCTGTACATATTAAATAATTACAGTATATTCACGTTATAGTTCATATGTTTGATAAAAAATAAGTAATTAACTTATATTACATATTTATAATATATCGATGCATGTCTGTACATTTTAAATAACTAATGAAATGTGATCTACTAGACAAATACAGTACATTCACGTTATAGTTCATATGTTTGATAATAAATAAGTAATTAACTTATATTACATATTTATAATATATCGATGCATGTCTGTACATTTTAAATAATTTATGAAATGTGATCGACTGGACAAATACAGTACACTTACGCTATAGTGCATATGTTTAATAATTAATAAGTAATAAACTTATATCTAATGTGTATAATATAACTATGCATGTCTGTGCATTTTTAATAACTGATGAAATGTGATTTACTAGACAATTATAGTACACTCACGTTATTGGGCATATGTTTTTAGTTAGTTAAAAATAAATTAATACCTAAAGTGTATAATATATCTATAATTGGCTGTAGACATACATAACATGAAATGTTTGAATGATAAAGGATTTTCACTGTAATGATATAAATATTTAAATTCAACAATAAATAACGCGTTTATTATATAACCCCCATATTCTTATTTAAATAAGAAAATGGGGATTTTGCTCAACATTATTGATGAATAAATTTAAAACTCATTTCATATTTTTTTATTTGATGTAAGCATGTGTTGTGTTTTGTAATCAGTAATGAATTTCATTGTTTATGTTATAAGTTAATTAATATATATAAAATGAGCCGCAAAGCTGTGTTAACACAACAACAAATTGAGGATTTGTTGGACGACGAAGAGGCCAACGACTTGTCCAGTGCTGATGAATGCGATGACATCAATGAAAGCGATCACTCGACAGATACTGAACAAAGTGGTAACAGTGATGGCGATGAACAGGATTTACGAGACATTTCCTCAAACATTACGTCATCGCAGTCCACTAAATATAGATCTCAAAATATCATTCGAGAGGAATGCCGTCTAGTAATATCAAAAGCTATGGCAGACAATAATTACATACTTTTTAACCGATTTATCACTACTGAAATGATACAATCAATCGTCACGCATACAAATCGAGAAATTCTGATAAGAAGTAGTAAATATAATACATGGCAATCATTTATTTACTATACAAATGCAGAGAAAATTCAAGCTCTTATTGGACTCTTAATACTCGCCGGTGTTTACAAGTCGGGCAAAGAGAATGCCAAAGAATTGTGGTCAACAACTGGTTCCGGAAGAGATATATTTAGAGCTGTTATGCCTTTGGCTAGTTTTTGTTAATATGTTTGCGTTTTGACAATCGTGAAACCCGTGATCCCAACGATCAGTTATCGCCAATTAGACAATTGTACACATAATTCAACAACAATTGTAAAACTAATTATATTCTTTCTGAGTACGTGACAATTGACGAGCAATTGCGAGCATTTCGTGGAAACTGTCCTTTTCGCCAATATATGCCAATGAAACCGGCAATATATGGCATAAAGATATTCATATGCGATGCCTTATCGAGTTATATGTGGACATCAGAAGTCTATTTAGGAAAACAAACAAATGACACTAAAAATATGAACATTTCGTCAGACATTGTGCTCCGATTTACCCGTGATTTAAAACATACGGGACGTAACATAACTGCCGATAACTGGTTCACATCTTTCCCATTAGTCGATGAATTATTGACAAAAGGCTTAACATTTGTGGGAACAATTAAAGCAAATAAACGAGAAATACCTAAAACCTATTTGAGTCTCAAAGACAGAGAAGTATTCATTAGTAACCCCATATTTGTTATTTAAATAACAAATATGGGGTTTTGATTAAAACTATTTATTATAAATTCATTATTTTTTAAAACTATTTTCAGATGAACTCCTTTTTATTTTAAGTAAAAGAAAACAAATTATTATTGTCTTATATTCCAAAGAAAAAGAAAGTAAAGAAAGTGGTATTATTGTTGAGTTCATTGCACACTACAGTTGATATTTGCGATGACAATGGCAAACTTGAGATCATTGACTTTTACAACAAAACAAAAAGCGGTGTCGATAATTTAGATCATCTCAGCGTTTTGTTTACATGCGGCCGAGCGACCCGTCGTTGGCCAATGTGTTAATTTTTTGACATATTAGACATATCTTGTATTAATAGTTATGTAATTTATAAACATAATTATCCTAATGATATCAAATCGAAAAAACGCCGGGAATTTATTAAAAGTTTAGGTTACGATTTGGTAAAGCCATTTGTTATTCAAAGACTACATAAATCTACACTTCAAACGGATTTGAAAAAATTGATAGAAAAAGTATTCAATACAGAGAGCCCTAATGTATTTGAAGGACAACCTTCAACGTCAGGCGAACCAAATCGTAAAAAATTTTGCAATAATACTTATTGTGACCTCTGTCCCCGATCGCTCAATCAAAGGGCAACTTTACGGTTTGAAGGGTGTGAGCGACTTGTATGCAAAGCTCAAAAGCTTGGTCATTGGGTTTGTGCGTCCAGTAGATATATATATTAATGTTTTACTGTATTGTTATTCCATATTTGCTATTTAAATAGCAAATATGGGGTTTTGACTAAAAATGTTTTATATGTGTTTTTATATTAAATCATTAAAGACAAAAATATGATCAAACACTTACATAACACAGTGTTTGATCAGCAGATCTTACACTACACATTTTCAACATTTAAACAATTGTTAATTATGTTAACTAATATAATTATGTTACAATTATTTGCGTAATTTATGTACTGCAAAATATCTTACACATACTCAAACATCACATGACTCTCACACCCGCTTATGTCAGTCAGTATAGCATATACTTTCTAATGAGAGCCATCTATGAGTCTCTGTGCTGCAGACCTCACTGTCTTGCATACAAAAAGTCTAGGGACTGTAGGGTAGGTGTATGTAAAATATGTGTAGGAACACAAGGTTAATTATAATATTTAAATTACGGCAAGTTGCACAGCAAAAGTGTTCCCAATAGAAAGGGTTCCTCCAATGGAGGTTCTGTTATAGGTATAGAAAATCCAAAATATATTTTAAATTCGTTCCTTTAAAGGAGGTGTCCCCCCCTAACAGAAGTTGCCATAAACTTTATTAATGTTTTTTATTATTTTGTATAATTATTTAATGTTATGCTATTTCTTATAATATTTACTCTAAAATTTTGCCACACGGTTTCAAATTGATCCAATTTTATATCTACTGAATTTTATTGTATTTTAGACTTATTATAAAATAATATAAAGTATAATAT